TTTCCGAAACTGTCAAAACCGAAACTTGGTAAAACTATTTCTGAAATTTTCTTATTTTCCAAAACTGATAAAACTGGTAAAACTAATCTGAAACTGGTAAAACTAATCCGAAACTGGTAAAACTAACCCGAAACTGGTATAACTAACCCGAAACTGGTATAACTAATCTGAAACTGGTAAAATTAATCCAAAATTTATAATGCCAAAATTATTACTGAAAGTTCAAAATTTGGCCGAAATTATTGATATAATCCTGGCCATTTTTAGGACGTAATTCTGGCCAAGAAAATGATCGACATTAAAATTTCCTTATTTGGAATTTTGTGTAACCATTGTGTAACTAATTTTTCCAATTTTACTGGGAAACATAATTTCCTTTTTAGGAAATTGGTGTAACGTCACGTGGATAAAATGTCATAATTTCGGCCAAATTTTAATTTTGGCCAAAATTAGTGAGTTTCGGGCTAGTTTCGGGAGTTTCGGGCTAATTTCGGGAGTTTCGGCTAGTTTCGGGAATTTCGGAATAGTTACGGGTTTAGTTTCGGTTTTGGTTTCGGTTTCGGAAACTGAAAAATAGTTTCGGGCAGCATCTTTACGAACCAGTTTGAAGACCCTAAAGAAAAAAAAAGAAGAGACTATCCAAAGACTAAAAAAACAAAAAAATTCCCTCCCCGACTTATCTTTATAACCCATGCCGAAATCCAGGTCCAAGAAGGTGTCTCCCTAAAAAAAGAAGCAAAAGGAACGTTAATTACGTTCCTAAAAACAAAAAAACAAAAACACCTTTCCCCCAACTTACCTTTATAACCATGCCGAAATCCAGGTTTAAGAGGCGTCCTCCTAAAGAAAAGAAGCAAAAGGAACGTTAGTTACATTCCTAAAGACAAAAAAAAAACCAAAAATACCCTTCCCAACATACTTTAATAACCCAAGCCAAGGATAGACGTGTGGTGAATTAATTAGAGATTTTGGTATTGAGTTTTGTGGTAAGTTTACCATTAATTTCAGAGAAGATCCTCTCAACTTTCGCAGTAATAGAGACTAATAAAGTTATCAACCCAAAAATCCAGGGTCTTGGAAGGGCGTCACCTAAAGAAANCATGCGTGGTAATAATGCCTAGGAATAAATGATGTTAATCTTATCTACAACGCTTGGGGGTTCTTTTTTAGCTATCAAGTAATAACATATCGGGAATCAAGGTTAGGTGGTCTGGGGATAGAAAAACAGGTATAGTGTTATCATATCAGAAAACAAGGCTAGGTGGTCTGGGAGTACACTAAATTATGGTTAGACCTATGTGATAGCCGCTGTCCCAGAACCCCCAAGTTTGTCCTCCAGGTCCAGGAAGGGCGTCACCTAAAGAAAAGAGCAAAAGGAACGTTAATAATGTTTCTAAAGACAAAAAAAAAACAAAAATAACTTCCCCAACTTACTTTAATAGCCCAAGCCGAAATCCAGATCTAGGAAGGGTGTCACCTAAAGAAAAAAAGCAAAAGGAACGTTAATATGTTCTCAAAGACAAAAAAAAAAGATAAAAAACCCTTCCCCAACTTACTTTAATAGCCCAAGCTGAAATCCAGGTTCAGGAAGGGCGTCACCTAAAGAAAAGAAGCAAAAGGAACGTTAGTTACGTTCCCAAAGACAAAATAAGCAAAACACCCTCCCTCAACTTACTTTAATAGCCCAAGCCGAAATCCAGGTCCAGGAAGGGCGTCACCTAAAGAAAAGAAGCAAAAGGAACGTTAGTTACGTTCCCAAAGACAAAATAAGCAAAACACCCTCACTCAACTTACTTTAATAACCCAAGCCAAAATCCAGGTCTAGGAAGGGTGTCACCTAAAGAAAAGAAGCAAAAGGAACGTTAGTTACGTTCTAAAAGACAAAAAAAAACCCAAAAATAACTTCCCCAACTTACTTTAATAGCCCAAGCCGAAATCCAGGTTAGGAAGGGCGTCACCTAAAGAAAAGAAGCAAAAGGAACGTTAATGACGTTCCTAAAAAAAAAAATAAGCAAAATACCTTCCCTCAACTTACCTAAATAGCCCAAGCCAAAATCCAGGTTCAGGAAGGGCGTCACCTAAAGAAAAAAGCAAAAGGAACGTTAATGATGTTCCTAAAGACAAAAAAAAAATGAAAATAACTTCCCCAACTTACTTTAATAGCCCAAGCCCAAATCCAGGTCTAGGAAGGGCGTCACCTAAAGAAAAGAAGCAAAAGAAATGTTAATACGTTCCTAAAGACAAAAAAAACCCCAAAAATAACCTCCCCGACTTACTTTAATAGTCCAAGCCGAAATCCAAGTCTAGGAAGGGCGTCACCTAAAGAAAAAAAGCAAAAGGAACATTAATGACGTTCCAAAAGACAAAAAAACCTGAAAATACCCTCCCCCAACTTACCTTTATAGCCCAAGCCAAAATCCAAATCTGGAAGGGCGTCCCCTAAAGAAAAAAAGCAAAAGGAACGTTAATAACGTTCCCAAAGACAAACAAAAAATCAAAATTACCCTCCCTAACTTACCTTTATAGCCCAAGCCGAAATTGAGTTCCAGGCAGGCGTCTCCTAAAAAAATAAAGTAAAGGAACGTTTAGTGACGTTCCCAAGATAAAAGAAAAAGAAATTTACACTTACTTTTTGAAATTCAAGCNGCAGGCGTCTCCTAAAAAAATAAAGTAAAGGAACGTTTAGTGACGTTCCCAAGATAAAAGAAAAAGAAATTTACACTTACTTTTTGAAATTCAAGCCATCCAAGTCGTTCTGAAGTCCAAGTCCAAGTCCGTCCTAAAGAAAAAAAAGTGTTTTTTTTTTTAAAAAAAAAAAAAAAAGGTTTGAATTTGACCAGATTATCTGATCAATCCGGTCAATCCGGTTATCTGTGTAACATCTGATCAATCCGATGTTATCCAACGGATCCATCCGGATTATCCGCAATCCGTTCATTCTTAATCCGGATGATCCATTTTTTGATCGGATTGGATGACAGATTGAACGGATTTCACCAAAGCACACCTCTATACGAGACAGCTTACAACGACTTAAGCATTATACACAAAACTATCTCTGGAAGACTTTAACTAGCCTACTTGAATGATACGACCAATATACACCTTTACCTTCTTCTACACCTTTTTTGACACCCACTGTTTACAAACACCCACTGGCATTTCCTATTCATTAAGTTACAAGACTTCTGATTAGGTCATTATCAAATGAATTTTGGATTAGATCGCGTCATAAACTAGACACGTTTCTGGATATTTTCCGCAATTTGGCAGGTCATCTACAAATAACAACAAATGATTCAGAAGACAACTTCCATTTTGGAAAAGCTTACGGAATGAACAACCTCTTTTGGAATTTTATCAGCTTTTTCAGTGTAACACTTAGTCTATACTTTTACCGATATTGTGGAACTAACCAAATTTGGTTTCTCTTTAAACAATTCTCGATAAAAGCTTTGAACCTCATCTTCGACTGTGCCTACACACCTCGGAGGAAGAAGGATAGAGACAAAAATCGGCTTAATGAATCCCGGAATTGTTTTTTCTACTTATTTTTTTTTCTTCTTTTTGCCTTTGTTTATCAATATTTTTTTGTTTAATTTTTAGATTTAGTATTAGTTTTAGTTTCTTTTTAAAAATTTTAATTCAGATAGAGCTTACTTGGGTTGGTTGATTGGAGTTAATATTGGTTGGCAAATAATAATGTTCAAGAACATATGCTGTGATATTGGACATCCGATGTTAGAGTTCGCCTTAACATACGACAAGCAACTTTCTACCAGTAAATGGGGCCTTACACTAGCTGACCTAAAGAATTGGAAATATGTCGTATTTATTACAACTGGTCAGTCCTGGTTTAATCGTGTGTACCTTGAACCCTATAGCTTGAATAATGGATGCTACTCCTTCTCAATTTCTTCAGGTCACTTTCAAAATGAACGATCTGGATGTTTTTTATTTTACTCATTTTCTCACTTACATTTTAAAGGTTTTTTTTTTTTTTTTCTATTCGCAATGTAGTGGATCGGTCTTGTGAATGCCTTGTGAAGAAAGAGAGGCATTTATGCTAAGAATGACCATTTTAAAACGAATCATACCATCTGAGCAAAAATTTCACCTAACAGTGAACACGTGGGATGCTTTCATGCATGACGAGTGGTTTGGTAGTTAATAATATTAGATGGTTTAGATTAGGTTTTTTATACTTAATGTATTTTCTGAGTCTTTTTTTTTCTGTTTAATAAACTATCAAATGCATTGCAGAAAAAAAAAAAAAAAATTGAATTATTTAAAAAGAAACTTTTTTTAAATCTGACTACCCAAGTAATTTTTTTTATCAAAAATTAATATTTTTTTTCTTTATGGATGGCCTGTACTTAGATTTCAGCATGGAATTCTGAAATGGTAAGTTAAAAAAATATATATTTTTATTATAAGAACGTTCTTAACATTCTTTTTCATTTTTTTTAAAAATGACTCTTAAAGATCTAAAACTTTTGAATGGTAAATTTAAAAGGAGGTTTATATCTTTCAAAAACAGTTACTAATTTCTTTTTTTCCTTTTTAGATAGATAGTACTTTAGCTCTTTAGACACAAAATTTTTAACTTTGAGTCTTTAGGCTTTAATATTTATTATGCATCAACAGGTAGGATTTTAAAAATTTGAAAAGTCAATTTTTTTTTTAAAAAATTTTTTTTTTCTAGATTTCAGACCAAATATTTCTAGAAAAAGGAAAATAACTAAGATCTGTGTATGTTATAAATCTTAGTTTTTTTTTAATAGAATGGAATAATTTACTAATCATTTTTATTTTTTTATAGGCTTCGAGTAGTCTTTTAAAAATAGAAAAGAACTAAGATTCGTAATTATTATGAAGTTAGTTTTTTTTGTTTAATTTTTTTATAGATTTCAGATGAATTTTGATTGAAAAAGAGTAAAGATTCATGAATTATAAGTATAAATCGAATTTTAGTCTTTTTTTTTGCTTTTTTTAATAAAATGGAAATTATAGATTTTGGGTGGCTTTTGAGTTCTGAAAAAGAACTAAGATTCGTAAGTATTATGAACTTAGTTTTTTTTTACTTTTTAATAAAGTGAAACAATTTATTAAATACTAATTCTTCTTTTTTTTATATGTTTTAGGTGAACTTTTAACAGTAAAAAACTAAAGTTCATAGGTATTGTGAACAGTTTTTTTTTTATTGGTTTTTTTTTATTAATAAAGTGATAATTGTACCACTTATTTTATTTTTTTTTTTATAGGTTTTAAGCAGATTTCAATTGAAAATCGTAAGTATTACAAATTTAGCCTTTTTTTAATAAAATAATTTACCAACCATTATTCAATCTTATTTTATTTCTTTTTTTATAAGTTTCAGATGGATTTCAATAGAAAACAAGCTAAGAATTGTAAGTATAAGTCAATTTTTAATCTTTTTTGCTTTTTTAATAATTGGAATAGTTTATTATTAACCATTCTTATTTATTTAATTTTTTTATAGATTTTAAGCAGACTTCTGACAGAAAAAGAATTAAGATTTGTAAGTATTAGTACGATTGAATCTTAGTATTTGTTATTTCTTTATGTTTAATAAAACAGAATAGTTTACTAACTGTTCTTTTATTATTTTGTAGACTTTGGGTGGATTTTCAAGGATAGAAAAAAAAGATTTGTAAGTGCAAATATGAATTCTAATATTTTTTTTTTTATAAATTTACTAACTATTCTTATTTTTTTTAAAAAAAGTTAGAGGAATTCACAACTGAATAAATCAGACTTATTCACTTAATACTAATGGTACATATTTAAGGAATATGATAGTATATATGTATAGGTGGTTTCTTTTATTAGAATATTTACTAACATTTTTAAATTTTATAGGAATAAGCAATAAATTAACAAAGATGCGAATTTATGGTTGTATTTAGTCTAATCAAAAATTTAAGCCAAAGAAATAATTTTTCGTGCTAATTATAAAAATATTATTAATTAAAGAGAATACTATGTAATAATATAATTAATAAATAAATAAAAATACAAACAAAATAATTTTAAATAATAAATAAAAAATAAAATTAATAAAATTAATAAATAAATATTAAAAAAAACATCCTTAAGGATTCTTTAATGGTAAATTTAAGATTCTTAAAGATTCTATAGAATTCTTTTGATAGGGAATCTTCGCTGGTAGGAAACCTTAAGAATCCTCACTAATTACGAGATTTTTGGAATCTCTGAAGATTCACATCCTAAAAAAATTTACTGATAAGTGCTAGCTGAAATTAATCACAGATTTATATTAAATTATTGTGCTACTTGATGTGATATTACTTTAAGAAACTGCCAAACAGGTGTAGAAGAGATATCTTAACAAGCAATTAAAGAGATCTAAAACAGGTAAACAAATAGATAGTTCTTTATTAATAAAAAGGCTACAGAGTAATAAAAGTAAGTAGATAGCTAGAAGATAATAAAAAGAGGATAGAGCATTAAAACATATAAATAGGTAGCAGTATACCTATAAGTAGGTAGCAATATATTTATAAGTAAGTAGTAGTATGATGCAAATAAGTAGCAGTATTATAAAACTGTTACCTACTATATGAAAAACATTTATCTTATCATCCAGCTTTATCATTATTTAGAGCAGGATTCTGCTTATTCCTAATAGAGGTTTTTAGAAAAAATTTTAAATTTACTAGTAATTTTACCAGCAATCCTATTGGTTAATTGATCTAAAAAGGGAAAAATCATAATAACTTAATGTAATATTTCCTTTTATAAATGTAATTTATCTATTATAGGATCTTTAAAAATTCTTAATTATAAATTTTACCTTAGGTTTTGGTGACCTATCTTATAAGTAAGCGGAGTCCTTTTAGAGCAATACAATGCTTTGATCCAAGATTTATTCAATCTAATATAGTATGTCATAATATATTAGATTATGGAATTATAGAAGTACTTCATTCTCCTACTGATAATTTAATCCAAGAATGGGCTATTTATTGTGGGCTTAATGAATTAGTTGAAAAATTAATAGATTTAGATGTATATTGGCGAAATAAAATACATTTATTACCAGAACTTAGTGCTTTAATTTTAGTATATATTTGAATACCAGTGTCTGGGGTAGATATTGAATGTAGTTTTTCTAGCTATAAAAGCATTTTATTAGATAAAAGGATTGTACTTAAAAAAGAAAGTATCCAGATGCTTAATTTTTTTTATTTTAATTTAGGTGGTAATATTAATTATGATTTATTAAATAGCGAATAATTAAATTTACTGTATATGTAAACAAATAAAATAATAAAATTTGTGCTACTATAATATTATTAACTCTGGCCAAAATTACACTAAATCTGGCCAGAATTAAAATCACACCAAATTATAACTTTTATCTAAATCACACTATACTTTTTGGATCATCGTACCTATATGCGAAGTAATGATTAACAAAAATATCTATATTTGAATATTGTTTTATTGATAGTAGTGCGAGTAAAGGAAAAGAAATGGAATAATAATCTGCTATAGCAGATTTTTTGTTAGCATCAAAGTGTATGCAAAAAAAAATAATAAGAAATATATATATGCAAATCTTACGTAGCACAGCCTAGCAAGAATTTTTCTGATAATGTATAAGCCACATACTTATGTGATTCTCTTATCTGAAGTAAAGGAAATTTTGCCAAGAATTTTTTATTTTAAATGTGAATGTGTTTATTTGGCGGTTTGATGATAAGAAGCAGGAAAAAATGAAGTGAGTATTTGGTATTATTGGAAAGTGTTAACCTTAACCCTCTAATCATGATTATTGATATCTTCAAGGTTTAATTCTGCTCTTCTTGCATTCAAAAATCTTTAACACCCTCTCGACTCTTATCTTTCACTTTTTCAACTGTTGATAAAGGTGGTCATCAGTTCTACAGGTCCTACTCAGTTCTGGATCAGTCAGTCCCAGAACTTGTAGGACCGGACTGCGGTCTTTCATTTTTCTTGGCGCAGTAGGACCGGTCCTGAGACTGACCTGGTCTTTGTATCGGTCTTTATATATAAGTTATTATGTGCATATTGAAACTTCTAGAAAAGACTGTCTCCCTGTCTCCAAGGAAAAAAAGAGAATTAACATTAATAAAGTATAATAAATCTGTCTTTATACATGTTATTTGCTTATAATGTACGTAATATACGCTGGAATGGTTCCTATAAATTTATACAATTAGTGTTCATTTATAAAGGAAGACTGTTCCTAGTAAAGTAATAGAGAAATTTTTTATTCGTAGAAAAAAGAAAAAAGACTGATCAGTCTTAAAAAGACTGCAGTCCTTAATAAGACCGTCAGTCTTATTGTACGTGTTACAGGACCAAAAGACCGCGGTCCTACATCAAGATGGACCGGTCCATCTTTTTAAGGTGTAGGACCGTGAGACCGTGATTTTTTAGGACTGATGACCATCTTTAACTGTTGGGAGATTATTAGTTATGGTAGTTGCAGAAACACCGGTATAGGAACTTGTAGACATGGTTTTCAATTTAGGGAAAAATTTTTTTGGGGGATGTGGAGTATATGTAAAAAATTGATTTTTTTTTTTTAATCCATCAGTTATCAGTTACGCCCTACTATTTCACATTACTATCTAAATTATTATTAATTTTACTATCTATCTATCTGTTTATTAACTAAATATCAGATCATAAACTTGCTTAAAACGGCTCCTGAATTCTTCAAGGGATACATCTAATAAAGAACTCCCACGGTTTGAAGCTTTGGATTGTTTTTTAACTCCGTAGTCATGATCTGCAAAATTGGAAATAGGGGTATTTTATATGCGTAATCACCATAATGCAGGGAAAAAACATGACTGCATAAGCATTATATAACATTCAGGATCTGCCAAATGTGAATATAACTTGTCGATCATCTTATTGATTTTTTGGATACTTGTAAATCAAAATTTTTTAATGACTTAAATACTTTCCATTGAATAATAAATCATAAAATATTTTCCAAAAGTTCATTACTTATTACACAAAAGACGTGTTAATTATTAACAAAAAAAGGTTTACATAGAAGGATATTTTCGGAACGATTATTGAAATTTATACCGACTTTTTTTCGGGTAGTGTATATTCAATATTTTTTTTGAAACCTAATTAAATGCAAAATTATTGAATTTTAAAAACTGTAAAAACTGGGGATTTTTTAATAAAGACAAAAAATCTTTATTAATAAACTTTTATACTGAGATTATACATAATTTTGATTTATGTACGTCAAAAAAGTTTAAATTAATACGAAGTCATCAGTAAATGACGTAAACATTAAAAATATTCCCCTAATTGGTAGAACATTATTGTTAATAAACAGGTAATATAATAAATTTAAAAAATAAATATGCTGTGACTTGTACAATGGATTTCTTTTTATGTTAATTCCTTTTTTGATGCAGGTCCGTTGATTATGTGCATGAATTAAATATTAAATACAGTATAATAAGGATTTTTTGTTTAAATTTTAATTAAAATACCATTTATGTATTTATCCGCTTGTTCACAAAGTCCAATTGGTTTTCGCGTAAATCGGAAAATAAAAATGATATTCGATCAAAATTCTAGAACTGGTAAATTATAATAGATTATTATTGTATACCCAAATGCAAACATCGTATTATAAATAAAAGCAATAACTCAAAAAAAAGAAAAAAAAAAACTTTTCTCCCAGCATTTTCTCTAATTGATGTTGTTTCTTTCCCGATCATATCAATCCAACTAGTCATGGTAGAACTTGATAATAATTATGCGCGAATGTGCCGTTTCGATCAAACTACAAATAATACGTATTGTGCATGTGATTTTAGAATAAACATTCATCGTTGCGATCATAATGAATTTTTTTTAAATGCTAGTTGGATAACACTTGTATTGTCCTTACTCAATTCAATATTTGGAGCAATGTTTTTATATTATTTAGTAAAAATAAAAGGTCAGACTTTCTTTCTTAATCATACAAGAGGAAGAGGTATCATAAGGCCCAAACCACTACACTCATTTCATTTATTAGTTTTAGCTTATAATTCAGGTAAGCCCGTTTAACTTAGTCACGTGATATAATGAACTAAATTATAAATTATTTAATAATTTACACCGTTTTCTACTAGCGTTGGCATTTAATATGATATGCTTGATTACAGAATCATATCCTCACGTTATATGGGCAGAATGTAAGCCTTTTAAGTCTTTATATAAATGTATGATTTTTAATTCTTGATAATTAATTTATATAATATTGATATAGTGGGTAATTATTTACCACATGGAATATGCGGTTCGCTTGGAATTTTTACTCCGTTAAGCATTGGTAAGTTTATGATTAACAATAAAATTTTGCTCTTTAAAATTTTAATCCTAAATTTTCAATTTTTATTAGTTTACTCAACACCGTCCGTCGATTCTAATTCAGAAGATTCTTTAACACTGAATAGAAAATTTTTAGACATAATGGGAATTATTGTTATCATTCATCCGTACATTATATTTATTCCATTTGTGTTATTATCTGGATATTATTCTGATATCAACGATTTGGAAAATGCAATGCTTTATTTTAAAGCGCATTATATATGCTGGACAGTTTGCGCCATTCTTTATATTGCTCTATTATCTTATCTTTATTATAGGCTCATTTATGTAATTAATTATCAAATTAAAAATATTAAACATTATGATGCCAATAATCCTGATCTTAATTCCTGGAAGAGGGCTAAAAGAAATGTTAGTATTATATTATATATATATATATATACTTTTTTTTTTTAAAAAAAAAAAAATGATTTAACCCAATTCAATTTTTTTTAGATAAATGGTTCATTGTTATCTATAATTGGAGGAGTAATATTCCAAACCATTCTTTCAATATCATTTGCCGTTTCCTATAAAGAAATGACTATATTTATTGATGGAGTAAATTTCTTATATTATTTATGTTGGAATATAATTATTCCATTTAACGGATTTATTAGTGAGATAGTATTTTTATACAAGTAAGTCTTATTTAATTTTGCTTCATTTTAATAGTATAATTAAATCTTGATTTAATTAATTAATTAATTAATTAATTTATTAGTACTTTTTCACCAGGTAAGCCAAAATGGTTGCTCACATTAAAAAGTAATCAGAGTCAAACAAAGCATTATGAAACTAATATTGATGATAGCAATGTTAGTATTATTGGATACTGATGACTCCATCATCATATACATTTTTTGTAAAATTTGTTTTATTAAAAACACGATAAAAAATTGTAGTAAAGCTTAAGTTCACGTGATATAAATCTCCACCCCAATATACTTTTTTGGTAATAATTTATTAGGACAAATTTATCCTGAACGAGTTTAGGTTTATATAATAAATTTTTTAAGGTAATCATTACGTGAAAAATATGATCTAAGTCTATTTTAAGGATGCTCTATGATTTACCCACACTAAATATGCCAGTTCGCTTTTTTAGCAATTAGTGATTGCAATATATAAATTGCTAAAAAATAAAGTACTACAAGTATATTAAATATATTCAAAAAATTAATATAAACTCATGTAATGTACCCATTAATTAAAAAATCATATGATTATTCAGCGTTATTTGAATATATTATACGAATGTAAATTTTATTATAATTTATGATCCAGGTTTTTTATTGGTATCTTTGATTGTATATTTTCCGTACTACAATGCCAAAAAAAAAGAAGATTAAGTCAAGAATACAAAACAAAATATTCAAAAAATTAGGTTCGAACATCACGTACATTTTTCTCTGGATCATAAACTTCCCAACGACTAGCGGGAAAAATATGTTTATTCTTTTCATACCAATTTCTTTCAACAACTTTACCCGCATGAGACTAATTTCATAAAGTTAAAATATAGTTACCGAGTGTATTCACAAAGTGCGAAAAACAATGTTTCTTACCTCATCTTTTTCCACAGTAGCATCATGTGTTAATCGGATATCATCGTGTACATCGAAATTAAATAAGGGGCCTGATTTGCCTCTTGCCTTATTGATGATAAAATCATAAAATGTATAATGCTAAAAATAAATAAAATAAAATAGAATATTAATAAAAATTATTAAAGATTTGAAGCGTATAAATTGAAATGGCTTGAGTCCTTACATGTGGAATAATAAGATCCTCCTTCACATAAATTAAATTGTCTACACTAACACCACGTAATTCATGAAATTGCTGCCTACATTTCTCTAGAAAAGTAGCGATTGAATCTCCTTTCTTACATGAGACAGTTTTACGATGACCCGTACCATCCCAATAAGAATAAGTGACACTTATTTTCTCGTCTATTTAAAAGTATCCAAGATCTTAATAAATGTGTCATTGAAATCATGATTAAAAGAAACATACTCTTGATCTCTTCTTGTTTTTGCAACCATTCTAATCGCAATTGTTCCCTTTCCTTTCTTTCTTCTTCTTCTCTATCTCTATCAGGTAAGAAAGATGTATCAACATTAGGATTTTTACCAAGTTTAGGTTTCTTTTTTGAAGGCTGAGAGGCTACTATATAATTTTAATGACGAAATTAATAAATATTTACAACATAAGCTTTCAATGTACTAATTTCATACCATCATTATTTTCTCCATTTCCATTGTCTACTATTAATTTTGGATTTTCGTTTTTAGTTTCCACATCCCCGCCCTCTTGTTCCTCATCGCCGTCTTCAACATCGAAAGATAATTTGACCTTTTCTGTTTTCTTGCGCTTTTTCTTAAACTTATCATATCTATATTTAATCAGCGGATTAGTTAAATTTAAAAAAAAAAACTTTAAATAACTTACTTTAATTCTGCCGTTCTTGCTGCTTCACGTTCCTTTTGGACTTGTATTTCCTGTCTGATTTTCTGAAAATCTTCAAGTTTGACCAAACCGATTGTCTCCTTTTTTAACGAATCTTCAACATCTTCGTATTGCGTAACGAATTTACTGTTTGTTATGTTAACTTGATTATCCTTTTAAATAAGTAAATTGTAAATTATTAATAATTATCTACATTTTTTTCTTAATATGCTTTAACCAAATTCAATTCAGTTATAAATACTACAAAAGAACTTACTCACTTTAGTGATCTTCTCCCGCTGTTTTTCGAATTCACTCATCATCTTGGCTCGTTGTTTCTCTAACATTGCTTGCCTTTGGCCTTCTGACGATGCACCTTTGTATTCCGCCATGTTTGTTTTTATTATAGTTATCGTAAAGTGAAAAACGAAGAGAGAAAAAAAGGGAGTTTATATATGTATTACATTCACATATCATGTGATAGCATCAATCACATGAAGGTTTTATGAACGTCTTTGTACCACTTTTGAATTTTATTTTATGCAACATTTGGAGAACTATCAGCTGACTTCCTTTTATAAATTATTAAATTATATGGTAAATAATATAGAGATTTATTGTTAAATTTATCTTTGACTTAAAAAAAACCGTTTCCAAGATAAATGTTGTACAAAATAAATCCAACAAATTCGTTTGACTGTTGATATAATAAAATAATACGATAAATAAATAATTAATATTTCATCGATCATTATCCGAAATTCTTGTACTACTTACTATTCGTAAAAAATAAAATAATTACGTTTCTGTTCTTTACTGTTTATGACTAGACTGCTTGGTTTTTTTGTGTCATTACAAGATTTTATTAATCACAAACAAAAAACACTTTATTAATCATGAGAATAATGATATAAAAATATCTCCTACGAACTTTTTTTTTTTTCCTTCCTTAAACAACATCCAAGATTTTGTAAATGATAATCAAATGGTATTGTTAATCGAAAATAAAAGTGACTTTTGGCTTGGGGATATCTTAGCAGAGTACGATGTTAAAATCGGTTTTGATTTTCACGATATAAATGTAGATCATGTTAACCTCGTAACCCCAAAGCTTGTACGTGATATTTTACGTAACAAAAAGCTTTGTATTGATTGTATTAAAGAGACTTTATCTACATTTAGCCATAATGAGATTATTGTCAAATTGCTACGCTTTGTCCTCAGGGATAAAGCTTATGATGACCTTACAGGAGTGCCTCTTGTGCCAGTTTTAAATGATTCACATGCAGCCTTTGGTGATAAGAAATATTACCTCACTAATCATTCGGAACGAAAGTTGTTCCCAAAATATGGTCCTAGTGTATTTGTTGACGATATTATGGATCAAGATATAAAAGAGATATTTTTAAGAGAGGATTTTCAGAAAGCCAATAATATCGGATTACTTGATCTAAATGATTTTAATAAAATTCTGAAATATGAATTGCCTAAGCAACCAAGTCTAGACTGGAACCCTAAGTCTTCATCTATTCCTAATAGATGTTGGCTTAATGCAATTTGGGACTATATCTTAGATTCCGATTGTAATTTAGATTTATTTGAGAAATATCCTCTTCTTCCTATTGATAAACCTCTTAATCCTAAAATCGTTTCCGAACAACTTGTTTCGTTAAATTCGTCAAATCCATTAATTCGGTATCCTCTTAACTTTAATCATGAACCTATGGTGTTGGTTCTTGAAAAACTTGGTGTTCGCTTTACAGACTTTCGTAAAGCTGAACCATTGAAGCCATATATTTATGACTGGAATCTACAAAATGTGTTGCGAATTATTGGAATCCTGCAGAAGTTTAAGGATATTCCAATGGAAAAATTTCTTAATCCTTTGGATTCAAAGGATAGAGAATCATTCAGGAGATTTGTAATTGATAATTGGTCTAATTGGTCTGAATTAGGACATGGTAATTTATATATATGTATATACATTCGACGAATAACAATTTAATTATACTAACTAATTTTTGTTTCAATAGTAGAAAAAGTGAAAAATGAATTTTATGATATAATACGACTATTACCAATTTGGCCTACCCATTCTAGAGATAAAACTTACATGTCTCCTAAAAACGGTTACTTGCTTCCTCTGGGACTCGTGTTTTACTCTCCTCTAAAAACTGATAGTAATTATTTTGATATCGAATCAGAAAACGAGTGGTTAATTTTGAATAAGTTGGACGTTCCCATTATAAGTTTCAACTCTTATATTACTAACGTTTTCTATCACATTAATAGCGTTGATCCGTCAGATCCGGATTATATGAGGTTCATATGTAGTTTATTAAGTCTTCCATTAGATATGATTCCTGAATCACTTGAACGCTTTAATTTTATTCCAAACGAGAATTATACAAAGTTGATGAAAGCTAAAGAATTATATGATCCTTGTGAAGAACTTTTTAGAGAGGTGTTTGTAGGTTCTAATCAATTTCTCCCACCGGAACTAAGAAAAGGATGGATTTTAAACGGTCTCATAAAATTAGGGCTTAATCGTGCTACGGATAGTAAATCATTTATTCGTGTTGCGGAAGAAATTGAAAATTTATCAAAAATGCCTACACCCCCAGAGAATTTGCGTGAACGGGCAAAAATAGTAGTTCGCCATTTTTACTACTATGCGACTGAATTAAATTTATCCAGCGAAGCTTGGGAAAAACTTTCAAAGATCAAATTTGTTCCCTCAAAACCTGTTAATCCTCCTTTCCTTGAAACAGCATATTCAAAGATTCCTGAATTATATGATTTCGATTCACTTTGTCTACCTAAATATCGGAATATTTGCTGGACTCAATGTCCAATTTATGATGATGATGTTCTGCCAGATTCGAATATTTGTAGATTATTTCCTGAAATGAATGAGATTGAAACTCCAATTGTAATAAATCATCTTTACGCAATTATAAGGAACATTGTAAGAGCTGATTTATCAGGGTGGAAAGATGCTAAAATGTCAGAATTACTTCGTACAGTGATTTTTCAAATATATAAACATTTGAATGAAGTTCCGAAACAAGAATTAAAATCATACTTAAAAATAAAACTGAAGGCCGATCCCAAAATCTTTCTCAATGGAGAAGACCCTTTCGATCCTTATAATTGGGTTTCTGGAAATCAATTAATATTGAACATTGATGATGATATCGATTCAGGAAATAGAGCAGTATGTGGCTATCTAGCAATATGTAAAAGATTACTTCATATTTGTGAAGCACAGGAAATGAAAAGTCCATGTATGAATATACGAGTTCCTGATGAATATTCACAACGAGATAAAATTGCAAAATCGTTTGCCAGATTTTTAGATGAAAAACCTAATTTAGTAACTAATAAGAGTCCTCAACAAAATTATGAACGAAACGGAATGCAAAAATTTCATGATATTTTCTTTAACGTCCACGGAGAAATAATTGGCTCAAATCGTTATGTATTAGCAGCCTCAGCCAATTATTTTGAAAGGATGTTCACCGCGGGGACAATGGAGTCTAACCCATGGAAACCAGTCTATGTCAACATAGATGACATAAAACCTGAATCATTCCGTATTATGTTGAAATGGTTATACGGTAGAAGACTTGAAGATGCTCTATCAGAGATCAAGATGTCACAGGCGACCGATGAGATCTCCTTTTATTTGGAAATCTATATTGATTTACTTAATGCCTGTGAAAAGTATGACCTGCAAGAACTTAAAAGGCTTATTGAACACAAAATTGTTAAAAGCGATTTAATTAGGGCTCAAAATGTTCTTGAGGTTAAGAAATGGGCTGAAAAATACAATGCTATGCAACTCTTTTCGTATTGCAAGGATTATAAGAAAGAAAATTTAGCTCTTTTAGTCAGGCATCGTTGTGCAGATCTACTCGATGTAGATGAGGATGAATTATCAGAACTACTCGATGTAGATGAGAATGAATTATCAGAAGCGTTAGATGATTATGAAGATGAGATTGATAACTTGGAAAGTAGCGAAGAAGATATTTGGGATTGCAAAATCGATACGGAATTCGAAAAGTACAGTAGTTGGTGAAAAAATAAAACTCTCTCTTCATTGATTTAACGATTTATTTTGGTATAGTATTTAGTAGTTTCATATTAATAAGCTTTTATTTTATAATGTACCGTATATTACGTACAACTCTTTTTTTTTCGCATTTGTATCTCACTGTTGATCGAAATTTTGCTGTGTACTTCTTTATAGAGTTTGACTTTTTCTACTTTTTCTTCATCCTGTATATTATTAATAGACTAAATAGAACCTAAAAGGATAAATCAAAAGGTATACAAAGTAAAAAATTGTATGGAATTGCAAATTGAAAAAAAATAAAAAATTAATTTTGAGATTCGGAAGGCTTCCGCGGCAAATAAATTTTTAATGTTGGATTTAATATTTATAAAGATAATAAATTTACAATAAGATAAATTTTTCATATCTAAATTTTTTTTTGTAAAAAATTCACTTATCTAATTATTAAAAAAAAGGGCCATAAAAAGCCATAAAGAGATATTTTATAAAAACAATTGATTTAGTTGTAACTTCTGTATTTTGAGCAATAACTTCCCCATCTTCAAAATTAATAGATTCTTGAAGATTGCTATAACCGAAATGATTTGGTTCATTAGGATTTATCGGTTTAATATAATGTTTAGGAGCGATATCTTCAATACGACCATCTAAATAAGGTTTGACGGTTCGTTGGTCACTAATATAATTTCTAAGAGAAACATCTAAGCTTTCCAACGGGATCACATCAGTAATTGGATATGGAATTATTCTAAAATAGAATTTATCAATTTTGCGCGTAAAAATAAATAAATAAATAAATAAAAAATAAAATTAAAAAATAAAATTAAAATTAAATTCACAGAATATGTATATACTGTATATGTAAAAAATTAGAAAACTAAAAGTTTGATAATTACCCATCACCAGTATTTGAAACAAAATCATTTGTCAAGATTTTATATATACTATTCGAATCAATAAACTCAAATATTCCAGTTTTCGGATTTCTAATTTTAACGTCCGTAACTCTATTATAAATTAACTTAGTAGAATCATATTTAAATCTTATTCCTGAAACTTGAATAAAACTAGTAACAGTCTTATTTGATATTTTATTTTTGTATCTACCAACAACACTTTCTAACATATCCGTAACATTTTGTCCGGTCATTTTAATTTCAACTAGAAAATTTTTAAATGGAAGGACAGTATTGATATCCGCTAAAGTAATATTTCCTTTAAACAGTCCAGCTCTAAGTCCACCCGCATTTACTAAGGCTGCATTACTTTCATTTCTCGATACTAACATTGCATCAGTTACTAAATTTCCTATAGAGCATTCTTCTTGTTGGCAAGTACTCTGAACAAATTCGTCATCTGCTGTTCCTATAACTGTTTTAACATAATCATCGAAAGGTGCACGCCATTTTTCTACAAGATCTAGAACTTTAGAATCTTGAGTAACTGATTGGTCAACTAAAATTGGTCCTCCCGTATAATTTACAACTCTTCCATCTTTGTCGAGAGAAATATCAAGATGACCAATATATTTTCCAGCCCAGAAAGCCTAATGTGAATTAAGTAAGTTCTTTTTTTTTTCTAAAAAAAAAAAAAGCTTTACTATTAATAAACTTTTTAAGGCAACTTACTTGAACGACTAAAGTATTTTCACCTTTAGCATTCTCTACAACAGTGGGATATGGACCTGAAATATAATCTGACAAAGTCGTATCATTTGCCAAAAGTGAATGGCTATGTCCACCAACATGAACTGCGACACCATGAGTTCTAGCAGCAAGTTTTCTATCAGGCCCATAACCGTTATGAGAAAGAGTCAAAATTCGTTTAATTCCTTTAGAGTGAAGTTCGTCAACATAATTTTGAACGATTGGAATAGGATCATTGAAGGATAAAGTAGGGCCACTATTTGAGATACCTCCCGTTGTCTAATTGAAGAGAAAGAGTTGGTTTCATATTACAGTATAATTTTAATATCTAGTTACGCTATAAATAAACCGATACTAACTTCAGTAATGTATCCTATAACGGCGAGATCATATTCCTCGAAGATATGATATGGTTTTATGTATTTACCAAGTGTGGGATTCAAAGTTGTGTTGATATTAGCACATACAATTGGCATAGTCAAACGTGAAAAATGATCCGTGAGCACTTCTGGACCATTATCAAATTCATGATTTCCAATAGCCTGAACAAGGGGAAATTAAAATTAAATTAAATACAAGAAATACACAGAAAATAAATACGAATTTATACTATTACAAAAAGATGGTGCTTACTGTAATATTATATTCGAGTAAATTCTATTATTTCGTGATAAGTGTGAGTAGAAGGTTTAAATTTTATTGTAACATGAACGATTACATAGAATAATTTACTCACCAAAACTTTGGAAGCTAACTCTCCCTGAACAGAGAATAAAGAGGAAAAAGAGTGAAAAAAAATCATAAAAAAAAATTGAAAGATTAAGGATCAAACTTACATCATAGTATGTGAAGAACAAAGTTCCTATTTTATATACATATAAAAGAAAAAGATTATTAATTTCGAAATTAGAACCAAATAAAATAGATCCAAAGAAACATTCCTCACCTTGGAATTGATCTCCACCATCTAACAATAATGTATTTTTATTTTCTTTTCTTAACTTGTCAATAATCGTTTTATGTCTAGCGGTACCACCATAACAACTTCTCTTTTCGTATTGTTCTTTAGTACAATTAGTAGCAGCAGAATTTATTTGATCATAACGAGAATGCACATCATTTGTATGAATAATTGTTAAATTAAACAATTCATCTTTTTCGATGAATGAAATTGATGGTGAAAATACATAATAAAATGTAGTAGTGAGGAATGAAACGAAGAACGTGTTTAATATAAGGATTAAAAAAAATAATTTATCCATTATTACATAAAATATTAAAGTGAATTATTGCTACCTGAAAAATTAATTGAGTAAAAAAAAAAAAAATTACTCTTTGTGCGAAATTTTTACGGATGATTTTATGATTTCAACATTGTGCAAAGATCAAAATATGAGCACAAATCCGCCAAATTTTAAATTAGAGTTTTATATTACCCTCAAATGGTCAGGACAAGATTGGCGTATTTAACTTAGGAAAAATAATAAAAGGGTTGCGGCTAGCATTTAAAAAAGTTACATACTTGTGTCACACTGTATCGTCGTATTACACGGTATGTAATTATCACATAATATGTGATATCTGCGATATTTTATTACATAAATAATTATACTAAATAAATCATGATCATATGAAATTTAAATTATGAGTATTGTTAATAATATTCTAAATTGAAAATATGGATGGATTAAAGCATCTTAAAAAGAATGCTTAACCAAATATAAATTCTAACTATAGGCAGTGTTGGGCAATTGAACAATTGGACCTGTCCAAAACTTGTCCAAAACCAAAACCTTTTTTTCATTGGACAGGTTTTGGACAGATCACATGACAAAAAATTTAATTTTGGCCAGAATTATGACTAATTTTGGCTAATTTTAATTTTAGTTCAAAAATCTTTAAATATTAATTTTTAATATTATTTTGATTTTACATTAATTTTATTAATTTTTATCATTTAATTAATATTAAATATTTACTTTTTTAACATTTTAACATTATATTTTTATTTTATTTTTAGTTTTAGTTGATGAATATTAGGACTTTTGAGCAGTTTTAAACTGTCCAAAACTATGTCCAAAACTGGTTTTGGATAGTCCAAAATTGTCCAATTAAAAAAACCAATTGGACAAGTCCAAAACCCAACACTGTTATAGGAATCTGTTGTATATTAATAGTTATTTATTTAGTTTTAATAAAAGGAAATCCTATTGGAAAACTGATTTATTATCAGATTATTATTTGTATTTTATTGAGAAAGGTTTATGATATAATTATTTTCTTTATAAAAAGCCATTGTCATAAATTGTTATATAAATTTGTGTTTTTTTTAAGAAAAAAAATAAAAGAAAAAAATGTTAGAATTAAACTTATATTATATAAAAATTTATAACTTATATTATCTTTAAATAATATTATAATATAAGAATCCTTACTTATAGTAAAATATTAATATTGTGATGCAATAGAATCCTACTTACTTATAAGATAGATTACCTTCAAGCTTAAGGTAAAAATCATATATAAAATTTTTTGCAAATCCTACTATAAAAAAAATTTTATATTACATTATTATGATTTTTTTTTCTTTTTAGCTAATTAATTAATAGAATTTAGAAAAAAAACAAGGTAAAATCATTAGTAAAGGGCCAATTTTTCTATGGTAATCTTTATTATAAGTAAGTGGAATTCTATTCTGATGAAGTAATAATAATACTATAAACATTAATACAGATTTTGATTTATAGTTATAATATAAGAATTATTTATTTATACTATTAAGTTTTATAACTATAAATTTATACCTTTACTAAAGGTTGTAGATCTTATCTTCCTATTATATAGTTCAGTTATTTTCATCTAATCTGTTTTCTATTTTTATGTTTCTATTTAATTCTTTTCTATTCTTTTCTATTTTTTTTTACTACTTTTATTAGAAATACTAAAAATACTAAAAATAGTAATTTACAAAGTTTTTCTATAATTTATAGAATTAAAATCAGGCAAAAATTTTGTTCCTAATACTATTTCTAGTTGGATCAAACTAAAACCACTTATATTATCTAAATAGTTTAACTTTTTCTATTAGCAGATAGTTTATTGTTATATTATCTAGACAGTTTATAGTTCTATTATCTACAACTCTATTATTTAAACATTCTGCAATTCTGTTATTTGTAAGATTTATAGTAATTCAACTTTATCATTTAATTTTACCAACCTTTTAGAAAAACCAGTAATTGAAGGTTAGGCTTCAGGTTTAAGTGTTTAACTAAAGCATTTCTTTTCTCCTTTTTTAAGAGTCTATCAAACACCTATTTATATCAATCTTAAAGTTCATTGATTTGAAAAACAGTTTATATTTTTATCACTAACCTCACTAAAACTAAAATTCATCAGTCTTTTTATTCTCTAACAATTTATTAGATGTACTAAGCTGTATTGCAACATTAATTACAACTTGTTCCTACTTGATTTTTTAACATTACAATTAAGTTCTGCAATGAGTTTAACTTTTTCTTTACCATTCTACTCAATTTTGTAAGTCTGGTTTTATTCTTTTCTGTAATCTGCTTAAACTTAAAATTTTTAGCTTTATTTTTGGCCTTAATTTCAGTATTCTCAGCTAAAACTTAATAATGTATTATTTCAATAAATTAAGTTTTGGACAATAATAATTTCATATAAAATGTAATTTATTTAAAATGTATTTTATCCAAGTGGGACTTTAGGTCTCACTTTTTTTATTCATCATACATCTCAAAAAATACTTTTGATACAATGTATAAAATTATTTATTGATGAAATAAATTAATTATATGATTTGGCTTGTAATGACGAACTAATATACAGTGCCCGTATATTGAGTAAGACTTCGTATCTTTTTACATGATTATTTTAATAATCACGTTCCGGGTTGGTTGGGATAGTGGTCGTTATTCTGAAAAAATTAAATATATGAATTACGTGTATTATAAGGTTATTGATTTTAGGAAATCGAAACTTTTGGATGCTAGACAAACAAACTCCTTAATTTTTAGTATCCTTTTAGTACCATACTTCAAGAAGGAAATTTCATTATCTCGACAAGTGTATCGTTTTTGCTCACGATTAATGATGTCCTCAAGTTTTTTGACATCTTTATACTAGCTAGTGCTATGAAACCGATGTTGAGCCCTTGCACCTCTAATGCGATTCGATATTTTTGGAAATTGGAAGATGGCATCAAGCTCTAATCCATTCAAGAAAGAAGGACGATATTCGATCATAGGTTCTTCATAAGAATTTCCTTAGCTATCTGGATGCATCTAGTTTGAAGTTTTGCGATTTTTCTTAGATTCTCTTTCTGCCTGATCCTGTTCTATTTTTAAATCAAGCTCAGTGATCAATACTTCAAGCTCAGATGACATGATAGATGATACTTTTATACACGAAAGAATTATTCAATGTTACGTGGAAAATTTATTAATACACACAAAAATAAATACGGGATTCGGGACTTTGCCCGTAGTACATGACGTCTATGCTAATATACACGATTATTAACTACAGACTATAACCACCTATTTTTTCAAACGATAACCCCTCTTTCTTTCTGGCTCTTCATCCACACACGTAGTCCTATCTTTTAACAAACCTACGATTAAGCCCAAAACCTTTCTCACACTTACGCAGATTAACATACTCTTCGGAATCAATAACCAAGGCCTTCTTAATAAATTCGATTGAATATATAGAAGGAAATGCCAATCCCGACCCGTTGTGACGATACCATAGAGGTAATCAAAATCATCATCACCCCGCTTTCGCTTCCTCTTATTAGTCTCATATGCGCTCTGAAGCTGTTTGATATTTTGTACGAAGCCCACGGGAACCTTATGCTGTTTATCCTCCGTAATGCAAATAAGGTCCTCAGCTTCCTACCCACATATTGCATAGTCTGTGTTAGTGTATGTTAACTTAATTGCGAACGACTAGAACTGACAGGATCGGGGTACACGTTAAGGATCCCATTTAGTTTATATATATAATATGAAAGGTGAGTTGAAAGGTGTGGTTGTACTTATAACTAATAAAGTGGAATACTGCATTTTATATTAAGTTTCGTGTAGTCTATGTACACAGTGAAATTCGATATAATGGAACCATCCGTTCCATTAGTAAAATTTGTCAAAAATCCGCTATATCAAGAATTCCGTTATATCGAGGGTAAATTAATTATACGTTATGATAATCCGTTCCAGACCCCAATTCGATATATCATTTATGATCCGGTATATCGAATTAGTATGTAGGGTTCGGTCATTTGTATTGTAACTAGGTTCATTTTGTGAATTAAAAATAAAAATAATTTTTTTTTTTTTTTGGACTCCGGCGGTGTTCTCAGAACTCTATTTCATTTTTACCACCAAGGTGACCTGTCTCTTATACACATCTAGATGTGTATAAGAGACAGATTTATAATTTTTTCCAATCAAAGGTGGCAACACCCTGTCTCTGTAAGGGTCAGACGTGTTTTGGTTTACAGTCTAGTAAATGGCTTTCGATCCTAGTATGTAGGGTTCGGTCATTTGTATTGTAACTAGGTTCATTTTGTGAATTAAAAATAAAAATAATTTTTTTTTTTTTTTGGACTCCGGCGGTGTTCTCAGAACTCTATTTCATTTTTACCACCAAGGTGACATCGCCCCTGTAGCGGTTTACAAAACCTCTTTAACATTAAACGCGAAATTCATGGCAAGGGAAACAATAAAGCTTATAACTTAAAACTAGAAGAGCGTATGGATAAACCCAAAATTGAATCCGGATTTGAGTGTTCTGCAAAACGCGTTGATCTAGTGCCAAAAACTGTTGTTAACGTTACTCTAAAGTCTGTTGGGAAAAATTCAATTCCAAATAAAATAAACCAGATAATCAACAGAAGTTAATTGTCAAATCTGGAACTCAAACACAGCCAAAAATCCGAATTATCAATTTATGATGAAGCCGCTGGCAAATCAACGAAATCACAAATTCTTAGTAACGTTTCAAAAAGAATAGAGCCTAGAGTGTGGCGTTTGAAATGGGGAACCCTCTTGGTGAAGGGCGTTTCGGTCGTGTTTATATGGCAAGAGAAAAGACAAGTAAGAAAATTGTTGTTATCAAAGTAATATTTAAAAAGAATTTCGGGAAAATAATATGGTATCCTAATTTCTTACGCTTATATGGATATTTTCACGATAAGCATCGTGTATTTTTGGTGTTGGAATATGCCGAAAATGGAGAATTGTATAAGCATCTTCAAAAAGATGGGCCTTTTACAGAACATAAAGCAGCAAGTTATATATCTCAGATAGCAGATGCTCTTGTCTATCTTCAAAAGAAAAAGTCATTCATCGAGATACGAAGCCAGAAAATATATTATTGTCAAGTGATGATAAGATAAAGATTTTGGATTTCGGATGGGTGATTCATACACCAGACGCAAGTCAGAGACGTATGACATTCTGTGGTACGCCTGATTACTTGGCACCTGAAATGATCAAAGACACGGGTTATGACCAAAAGATAGATTCGTGGACGCTTGGAGTGTTGTGTTATGAATTTTTGGTTGGGGAACCTCCTTCTATGGTTGAAGACTTATGTGAAACTTATAAAAAAATTGCCATGGTAGATTATAAAATACCAAATATTATGAAATTTTTGAAAAAAAAAATTTAATTTTTTATAAAGTTATGTTAGTATAGCATTTCCATTAACTATATTGATAAATACAAGAATAAATTATGGTTGAATAAGGTAAATATTATCCTAACTAGTGTTCGCAGGGCTAGGTTCAGAATTGGAATCAAATATAAATCTTCCAGGTGCTGGCTCTATAGCCGCATTAAGTAATCTCTACATAGACTGAGTAATTAACTGTATTAAAGTCTCATAAGTCTGCGTTTAACAAGTTGAATTAATAAAATGGCTAATAAAAAGTAAAACTCAATAGATTTAATTACCTCATCACGATGAAAAAGATTAGAAAAAAACGCTAAATAGTTTGGTTATTTTAGCTGTGAATATAACTAATAGAATCGTAATTAATTTTGATTACGAACCTCTTGCTTTGTTAGAATCTGCAACCATTCCGCGTTTCGATCTTTTTTTTAATAATCCTTGAGCAGTCATCATCACTTCGCCATTATTCAGAGTATCACGTTATTAAAATCATATGCCATGAATGTAGTACAACTTTATAAGAGTTATTACTTTAGTGTTGTAGAAGAATTGGCCGCAGTTACTGAATCACAGTCTCACTAAAAAATGAAATTGTTCATTTATGAAATAAATTAGAACGTACACTTTTGTATGCCTACACTGTTGATGACATTTGTACCAACTCTAATCTCTACTATACTTAAGGATGCAAAAATATAACAAAAATACGGTTTTCATATGGTTGTTATCATGGTAGTTAACTTAAATTTCGGAAATTTCGGCCACATGTATAACGTCAATTTACACTAATTTCGAAGTTCTCGTTCACTAATGAAAATTTCGGTTTAATGCTTTTTTTTTTGCTTTAGCTCCAATTTACAGGAATATATAAATGAAGGGATGAAACCCTCTATATTTCCAATATGACTGGTAAGCCCGTTAATTATTATCAGTTTTGAATGCAAACTACATTAAATTATCTGTGAAATCAACCATTCCTGACAAGTGAATTCCTATTATGAACGATCTATCTCACTACATGATTGAGGATGACATCTTTGATAATAATAGGTAAGTAATACTAAATATGTTCTCGATTTTTCAGTCACAGGTGAAACAATGTATTTTTTTAGGTTATATAAAGAAATGTGTGATTTATCAATTTATTAAAATTTAATTCAACTACTTTATAAAGCAAAAAATAATAAGTTTTATAATTATAATGTGATGACTAGCAACAAAAGCATAAACAGTAAGAGATCTCTTTTGTGGAAATTATGAAAAAAAAATGTTGAACAAGTAAATTATTGCCGATTAACCGATAGTAAAAATCTAGTGTCTTCAGTAAAATCAGATTTTCTCACTCCCACCTTAAAAACAACATACGCCCTCCCAATTGGTACAGGGTTGTTGACAGTTTGAGGTAAATTGGCACATATGGAACTGGGAGCATGAAAGCCGTTCGGGATAAGATTGTTGATAAAAATATTATCTCGAACATAATACATTTCCTGTGAATTTTTAAAATGGAATATACAGCGACTATCCTGGTTTCTGCGCGTTATAAGTGGCAAATACATCCATCTATTGATTATAATTAATTAATCCGTAGTTCGTAACCCATGTTGAGTTAGGAGTTTTAACCAACACTGTATCAGTTTCATGGAAATCTGCCTGGTATATTTTTTGATTTCATTATTAGTTGCGTTTGGAAAAAGAGTTTTAACCATTTCTTCAACGGTCTGAAATGATTCAGCCCTGGAATATTAGAAATTATTAAAATATTGTTCAAACTTCAAATATTGATTATTTGAAAAATGGATTTTTACCTTCGTAATCTTTCTTTTTAAACATTCTATGTTGAGAAGTGAGTAAAGTGGATACCTTATTTATCATCATTTTATTTAATATTAAATTTTTGTCGGATCGATTTATTGTTAAATTTAATTGTATTTATTTATTTATATGTTACGTGGAAGGTGTTGAGTGGAGTACAGTGCTAAAAAAGGTGTTGATTACAATTACGCTAATAATACATTGTACTCAATAGTGCATATGTAAACCTTTTAAGTATGTGGAGTACGCAATATAAGAATTTTATTATTTAGCTAAAATTTCAATTTTTTATTATTATTGTTATATTTCGTATTCAAAATCTTCCATTCATACATCTTTGCAAGTTAGTATTCATTAAAAACGCGAAGAAAAGCAAAATATTCAGCTCAATAATTTATAAAGAACGACATTTCAAGCTTTAATAAACATAAGGTATTATTACAATTTGTATTATTAACAATTCAATTACGATATGAATATATATTTACGTACAGATTTAGGACTAATAGAATGGCTATATAAATTTGGTCAAACGGGGAGTGTTAGATGGGAATTAGATGATAACTTATATTTTTTAATTCTAAAATTGCGTTAATAAAATTTAAATATATATATATTAGTATATTGGTAAAAGAAACTAACAAGGAGATACAAGAGGCGATGGAAATTGTGAAATTACCGGCGTTAAAAAAAGAGTTGATAAGTTGTAAGAATGTCATAGCGGAAGTCAAAATTAATTTAAATAATTTGATTATAGACGAATTCAGTTTACGTTGGAATTATATACCTATAGAAGGGGCGTTCAGGCGTTGGTTTAAAGAATTGACGTACAATACTACAAAAATTGACATAATGATGTTAGATTATGTTAAAGAGTGTTTTATAGAGTCAGGTGGCTCGAATTTGCTGATTGATTGGAAAGAATCTTTCGCGTTAATTAATAACGAAGTTAAGGTTTCAAGAAATTCTACAAATAGAATAGACGCTTCATTAAGATGTTTTAGAGTAAAAAACTTTTTAAGGTTCTTCCAACATATGAAATTTTGTGGACAAGAAGAGTTTGGGGTATTCCGAACAAGAAATGTCCACGTTGTACTGTACTATAGAAGAAGAAGCATGGGATCATATTTGGGTATGTCCAAAAAATAAAGAAGATCAATTAGAGTTCGAGATATTTAAGAGTAGTATTGATAAAGTTCTGGGTGAACGCGTTGGAGAATGGGAGAAGAACAAGTTGATGAATTTTAAAGAAAAGATGTTAGACGTAGCAAGTGATAAATCATTGATAATGGTGCAAGAAGGAATTTTAAGAGAACTGACAAGAGGGTTGGTAAAAAATGATGGAAATTATGCAAAAAGAAAGATGATAAATCAATAATCAAAGAATATTCGATGAATATTTAATAAATATACAAAAGAAAGTATGGAATGAACGATGCTTCGAGACGATAGAATTGGAAAAGCAACTGGGAATTTTCAAAGATCTAAAAAGGAAAAAGAAAAGAACAGAAAAGAGCGACGAAGATTTGGTAGATCAATTAGAAAATAACGAAAACGAGAAAAAAAAATAAAAAAATTAAAAATGTGATAAAAATGGATTTAGAAGGAAAATTTAAAGATGACGTATTTAGATTAGGAAAAACAAATAGAAGTTCTTGGGGTAACAAAGTTATTAGTAGTAAATACTTAATTTTTTGCCTGAATAGGCACGAAAGTTAAAAGAAAGTAGCTTTGCAAACTTTGATACGTTCATATCTTAATTGCTGCATCTAAACGAGTGAGAAATCTCACATCGCACAGAGTTACTACGATTTATTTTTTTTTCCGGTCTGTGTTGCACACAAAAAGCCACATTAGTCAAATTCGGTCATTCGTACGATATGACTGAAAAATTACGTAACGTAATTCACCTTTTTTTAATAAATACCCTGAGAATTCGTCGGAGAATCAAAAATCTAATAAAACCAAAACCATTGATAAATTACTTTTTTAATTTATTTATAGCGATAAAAATATTTTTCTTTTGCAACCTCTCTGTTAGTTTCCCCATCAGTTTCCCCATCAGTTTTTTAAGTTAGGTAAGCTGAATAGTTTTGAAAGCATATAGAGTAGTTTTTCTACTTTATATACAAGCAGTAGCTCTCTTCTTTATTATTTGAAAGTTTTTTTAACATTCTGTACTATCTAGGGTGTGGGGGTCCAAACTGGTTGGTTACACAATATAATTTCGTATTACCAAACTGTCCCACTACCGTCACCCCTGAATTTTATTATTTTAATATATCCAAGACAACATTCCAAGCCTAAAACTTTTGACACACAACGTTTCTAAAAGCCGATGTTCGAGAGTAGATTAGTG